CCTCTAGTTTCAGGGATTAATTCACTTTTATCTAATTTATCTGAATACATAGCTATCGTATTACAACCGTCAGTGAAAGCAATGCAATCCTACCTCAAAGATTCCCAAAAGTCAATTTTTACAGTTAAAAAGAAATTGCTCCAAGCCAGAGGATTTTGAACAACAAACTACAGTCTAAAAAATAAATTTTTAGAAAAACATTATTCAGAAGAAAAACTAGATAATGTTATTAAAACAGTCAAATCAAAAGAAATAAAGAACCTTCTAAGATATAAAGAAACAAACAAAACGGCACCTTCTGTTCCAATCATATTTGATTTTAATAACAAAAATAAAGAAGTTAAAAGAATAATTAATTAGTACTAGTTCTAATTCTGCAGACACTCATGGGTGTAGCTGATATCTCTCTAGGCACAGTGAGCATGGGGTCCACGTCTGGACTACCCTTTTAACTTGGGGTGAGCCAAGTTAATGCATTAAAGCAAAAAATAAAGAAAGGATGAGAACTCTGAGAACATGCAAAAGCTTAGAGAGGCTTGATAATTATCAAAGGACGAATATAACTAACTACTCACAAACGCACCTAATTAGGAAGACTCATATACATGCAAACTGACACTCAATTATATGGAAATATACACGTACATAGACCCACCTGGATTACATTTGGGCTGACCCTGATATATATAAAATAGGGTATATGGTTGGTTTACTACATTAGTATTTAACCCCTTAAGGACCAAACTTCTGGAATAAAAGAGAATCATGACATGTCACACATGTCATGTGTCCTTAAGGGGTTAAAGGGACACTATAGTCACCAGAACAACTACAGCTTATTGGATTTGTTCTGGTGAGTAGAATCTTTACCTTCAGGCTTTTTGCTATAAACACTGTCTTTTAGGAGTAAATGCTATGTTTACATTACAGCCTAGTGATAAATTCACTGGCCACTCCTCAGATAGCTGTTAGAGATCCTCCCTGGGCCATGGCTGCCTAAAATGCATCCAAACATTCAGTGCCTCCTCCCTCTGCATGCAGACACTGAACTTTCCTCATAGAGATTCATTGATTCAATTCATCTCTATGAGGAGATGCTGATTGGCCAGGCCTGTGTTTGAATCATGCTGGCTCTGCCCCTGATCTCAGTCTCAGCCAATCCTATGGGGAAGCATTGTGATTGGATCAGGCTACCACTTCTGCTGATGTCAGCAGACAGCTTGTTTTTCATAGGAAAACAGCATGCAGAGTTACAGCTTCAGGCTTGAATACAGTAAGATTTTTTACTATATTTATGGAGGCATGATGGGCTCAGGGGGGCTAGATGGTGATTTAACACTATAGGGTCAGTAATACATGTTTGTGTTCCTGACCCTATAGTGATCCTTTAACTAAGTGATTTGTAATAAAAAATGATAGTTTACAAGACCATGCATGTTACCTGACAGTGAACTATGATTTTGGTAACCATAACTGTAAAGTCAAACATGCTTGCTTACATTCCAAGGCCTGAATTCTGTGCCTGGGCTGGGTCATAGCTTTATATGTACATTTACCTGTTTCTCTTGTTTTATACCCAAGGGCAGCATTGAAGAGCTGCAAATGCACTTGTAGATTTAAAATAATTGTTACTCTTAGACCTAGTAATGATTTAAAGAATTTCATGTATGAATTCCTGTAGTGGTGATATAAGGAAATAAATCTCTTGTTTGATTAGCGGTTTCAAACGAAGTCTACGTGGTCCTGACACACCAGATTTTAAGTACTTTACATTTTATAATGAAAACACTATTAAATGTTTCATTACATGTTATTTACTTAAATCTTACAACTTTAATTTATGGCCCATAGGCCATAGATTTAGTTTTCCACCCCTGATTTTAAGTTGTTTGAATTAGTTTTCTGCCATGTATAAAATGTATAGTGTAACATGTAGTACAGTAAATATGTAAAAAATACTAAGGCATGACATATAACAGTTTGATCCATCAATTAACCCTGGGTTTTATGTCCTGTGCACGGAAGGTCTAGATAGTTACTTTAGTACCTGGTGATTAACAGCGCTGATATTGCTTTTAAATATATGTGGTTTCTTTAAAGATGAAGCATATATATTTTGTGACATTAAAAAATTAAAGCTGGGGGGTTGGTGCTTGCCAGCGAGCCTGATTGGACACCATCTCTTTCAGCTACCGATAGCCCTGGGCAAATCTGTTTAACATCGCTCGATCCCGGAGCCATCCAAATTCAACACACCCTACCTTCGACACAGCAAAGGCTCCAGAGTCCGTACATGCCTTTCTTTCAAGCACCAAAGGCGGCAAAATAGAAACGCAGGTCTGGGGCCTCCAAAGAATCAGCCTTTTCTGGCTGGGACTTTCTTTTTGGCGGATCACCACTCAAAAGTACCACAACCACTCCAACCCAGCCCCTTCCTGTACCCACGACCTCTACACTAAATATGAGGTGCAGAAATCAGAAGCCCTCATCCGGAACAGGGCGTGAATCAAGGGACATAGGCACCATTCTCCAGAAGCAGGCGCAATTCAAGATGGCGGCTAAAGAGATTAATAACATGCCAGCCCCCTAGATCCACCGGAATGCAGTGAATCCCCCTCTCATCTCATGTAGGTCTTATTTTATTTTATTTATTTATTTATTTATTTTTTATCGTGCTCTCTCGTTGTGAGATGAGATATACATAGAGTTATATTAATAAAGTGTCCATCGGACACTTGGGAAATTCAACACCCAAAATAATTATAAAAGTAATTTAAAACACTTCTAAAAACAGGTAGGCTGGCTTGAGATGGGGGGTGGTTATTGTTGGGTACAGTCACTAATATAGTTCTCAGTTTGTGTCAAACCAAACAAAAAGTTTCATTCGAAACTGGTAGATGGTACCATGTGCATACTGGCACCATAACCACAACTGTGGGTTGCAATGGTTATTGTGGTTAGCACAGATACAAATACATACAATATGTGGATCGCACTCCTTAAAATCTCTAAAAGAGAATAAAAACAACACAATAGTGTAATACAGTAAACAAATGGATATCCAGGGTATAAATGTAGATGATCAGGTACTCACAAACCGAGAGCCAAACAAGAACATGTGGCTCTCATGGGAATAGCGCTGGGACTATTTGTAGGATGTCCCCTTCCTTCTGTGGATCTTCCAATGACCAGAAAGAACAAGCAGAAAACACTTACTTGGAACAGTAAAGTGTTTATTTATCCCAATAAAGGCAGGAGCAAAAATAAGGGGAGTATCTCCAATAAAACTTAAAATAGTCCAGTATAGTAAAAAAAGAGTCCAAAAAGGAGTCTCTGGGTTACCGACTTCCAGTAATTTGTTCCATTATCCATTTTGTTCCATTATCTATGTCTTTGATGGTGTATTCCCTATTCTCTAAATATGACATCATAAAAATTAAAGATTAACACTGTATATAAAAAGGGGATTAAATTAATAAAACAGTAAAACAGTAAAAAGAATGCAATATATACAGTGAAAAGTGATGCGAGTGCGGTCTAAACACCTGAGTGGGAAACCCCTTATACCACATTTAAAATGAAGCACAGATACAAATACATACAATAGGTGGATCGCACTCCTTAAAATCTCTAAAAGAGAATAAAAACAACACAATAGTGTAATACAGTAAACAAATGGATATCCAGGGTATAAATGTAGATGATCAGGTACTCACAAACCGAGAGCCAATGTGGCTCTCATGGGAATAGCGCTGGGACTATTTGTAGGATGTCCCCTTC